CACATGCACTCACCAGAAAGACAGAGACAGAGAGATAGAAAGTGAGAAATCACCCCCCAGGGGGGATGGCCATGCCACAATCCCTTCTCCTCCATTCTCCTCTTGGGATCTTGGGCATACATGCACACACACCCGGCATGAGTTTAAGCCAGTGGGTCCAGGACTCGAACTGCGGTTGACTACATGGGAGTCCAGCGACATAGCTATTACGCTAACTGCTGGTCCCAAGCTTTGTAATTGCTTTTCACAGTCCAATTCCCAAGAGTCTTTGGCCAGGTCCTGATTTCCCTTCAATACCTTCTCCACTATTTTCTGGGAAAAACTCATTGAGGCTGGATTTTATGATCCTTTGTGTAGTTTCCTCAATAAAATGTACCACCTTGATCCTGTCTGACTTTTACCTTCCCTCCTCTCCTTTCTGGTGAGTGTTCCTTGTGGGCAGTGCCCAGACTGTCACCTCCCAAACCTAGTTGCTCTCCTGGGCAGCACGGGCCATGTGTTGCTGTCATCATTAGTTGGCACGTCCCCTGGTGTGCATTGGCTACCTCACTGGGTGCTGTGAGACTGTAGGACAGGCCATGTCATATATGTGGCTGTATTTTGCTGAACACAGGGAGTTGCTGGGCATGGGTGAGTGTGAAGTTGTTGGCTTCTGGTGAGGGCTGTCAGCTGGGCCATGGGTGTAAAGAGTTGGTGTTGCTTTCTCATCTGTCCTCCCTGTCCTCTTCCTTAGGCAGGTCAGACTCCCCTGGAGACCGCCCGCTACCACAATAATCCAGAAGTGGCTCTTCTGCTCACTAAAGCTCCCCAGGTAGGCCTCACTGCACTTTCCCTTGTATTGAACGTGGGGCTGCAGAGTTGTTGGGGCCTCTTGTGGCGGCAACTTACTGGAGCCAATTCTAACTACCTTACACAAAGATCGTTGAGCTTATTAACCAAGTGGAGAAAATGTAGGAATCCATGAGGACCTCCGGGTGACTGGCACCAAAGAGTTCAAGTCCAGCTCCTCACACGCGAGCATCATTTTCTTCCTGTGGCTAGATCGGCTCCCTGGATTATGACTTCTCCATTACTCAGCCAAGGAAGAAGTTCTAGTTTCAGACATTGCAAGAAAGGACCATGACTGAAAAGCTGGGGGTAGGGGGGCAAATGTGCACCTGTGAATAAGCAGGACAGGGCTATGAGAAGGGAAGGGGTATTTTCAGAGAAAGGCATGCAAACCAAGCAGTAAAAGCCCATTAGAAGTATTTAAGTACAGAATTTTCTTTGTTTCTTTTTTTGTTTGTTTGTTTTTTGAATAATAGTATTTCAACTATCAATTTTAAAAAATGGTAGAGGACATCTTATCATTTGAGTTGAAGTTGACATTATCTAAGTAACAGTAAGAAATTTAATAACGATAATTTATAAGCTCTTCGTAATTCCAGCAACCTGAAACAACTGCTTTTGTTTGTTCATATTACTTCCTATAGGTACATAATTTTTATATAATTGTGCCTGCAATGTATATACCCTCTTGTATTCTGCCTTTTGTCCTAACTATAATAGGACAATGTTCTGCAGTCTCCATAATTATTCATTATAATGGAAGTACAGTATTGTTTTTGTTGCTATCAGGATCTTGTTAAACCATTTTCTTAATGTTGGCCATTTAGGTCATTTCCAGAATGGAACTATTTTATATTATATTGCCAAAAGCACTGATTGCTTTTTCATCTTATCTTGGCTAATGTTGCCAGAAGAAAACAAAGTCTCAAATTCAAAGGAAGATTCCAAACCCCACCCTGCTGCATCAGAGCCCAATATAGCCTAGCCTTGATTTCTTTTAAGTTTAAAATATGCCTGCTATAACTTGCAATTTCTGGAAATGGTTAAGACTTCAGTCTTTTGCAAAATTGATCACCTTCTTGAGCATGATGCTGGTCCTACTCCATGGTCTCTGGAAGCCCACGGGGCTCCTGACAGAAGGGAGTCCCGGAGGAGAAAGCTGCTGTGCGTGGGAGGCCTCACCTCCCTCCAGCCATTCACAAAGAATCATCCCAGGAATCACATCCATGAATCCCAATAGAAGAATGCTGATCTCTCATGAATCAAAAAGTGTGGGTGATAAATAAATGTCAGAATCTATCACATTTATCAGGCATTTCAGCATTTGGCAATTCAATGAAAGCCAGCCCCCTCCTGAGCCACCCAAAGATGAGCAAGTCTTGTGGGGTTGGAGAATTCTCCAGGCACATAAAGATGGAAGTATTTTTAATCCACCTGTCATTTGTCTTCCAGAGCCCAAGGATCTTCACTTACAGGGAAGGAAGCTTTACTGTGGACCATTTCCCTGTGCATATCTCCTTTTGCGTTTTCGCTAAAAATATAACTTATGTATGTTTTTCCACCCATATTAAATAGTGAAGAAGTTCGATAACATTATAAAGGTTTATTTTACACATAATTATATATGTAAAACCTTATTTTCCACACAAAGGAGGAGCTTTAAAATATGCGTAAAAGTTTATGGTACTGCCCCATTGGTCTACAGTTGTAAAAATAGCCTCACTGTTTTATTTCAAAGAAAATAACTTTGCCTTAGTTCCTTCATTGAACATGAATGTTTTTAAATTTCTATTTTCTTTTATGAGACACAGAGATGGACAGACAGACAGAGATACCCTACACAGGGTCTCACCACACCATTCCTCTCTACCCATACTCCCACCTCTTCCCCAACCTTCCAGTCAGCCAGGATCATGGGTGTGCCCAGCATATTCAGGTTAATCTGGGAGCTGAACCCCAGGCCTTCCCATATGGCACTAGTATGTGGTCGTGCCCTACCATCTGTGCCATCATGGCTGGACCTGAAGGGGGATTTTAATGGGCCACAGCAGTAGGAAGAGGATACTTGCTGGGCTGGCCCATGGCTTGGTGTTTAAGGGAGCAGATCCCACGTGGCCAACTGTGCAATTCAAATCCTGGCCCCAGCAGCTTGGAAAATATGCCAGACACATGTGCATGCCCTAAATCCCAACAGGGCGGAGAAATGAAGAAGGGATTATGATGTGACCACATCTCACTGGGTGCTCTCTCCCTCTCTTTGTCTGTCTATGGTAAGCACATGCACCCTCTGGCAAAAGATTGATTGATTGATTGTTTAGAGATTTTTGCCTTAGGGTACATGTGCTCACTAGAGGGAGAGACAGAGACAATGAAAGGGAAAGTGAGAAACCACAATCCCTTCTCCTCTCTTCTCCCTGGATCTTGGGCATTCATACACACGTGCCCAGTGTGAGTGTTAAGCCACCAGGTCTGGGATTCAAATAGCGGTTGGTCATGTGGGGGTCCAGTGATATAACCACCACATCATTTGCTGGTCCTGTCCTCTGGCAAATTTTTTTTTTTTTCAAAAAAGGAAAAAAAGACCTTTCCAAGTTCTCAAGATCAGTATTCCCCAATTTCTGTGGGCTAGAAAAGATTAATAGCATTCCATTTGGTAAATGGTATGGTTCGCTAAGAAAAGCTGTAAGCCATACAAAGTCATTTTCACTGGCTAGTAACATAAATGGAGGGAATTTTTCCAATGATTATTTTGAGTTTGGGTTCCCTCCAAATGTCATTTGTCATTTTGATTGACATGGTTCACAAATGCACCGAACATGGGTTTCAGGCTGATTCTGGTGCTGGGTCCTGTTTTAATAGTTAATGTACTAGGTGAGCCATGGGTACTAGTCAGCTCCTTTTCTTGTTTTATTATTTTTTTAAAATAATTATTATTTAATTGTATTTATTTTTTAATTTTCTATAGGACACATACACTGACAGGGATTGGGGGGTGGTGAGAAGGTAAGCCGCCAGGCCATGTGGGAGTCCAGCACCTTAACCATCACACCATCTGCTGACCCCACTAGTCAATTCCCTTCATTAGACTGGACTTGCGGAGAGTCTGAGCTTAGCTTTAAAAATGGCTTACAGCTGGGCCAGCAGGTGGCGTGATGGTTAGTTAAGGTGCTGGATCCCACATGGTTGACTCCATTGTTAAGAAGGTAAGCCGCCAGGCCATGTGGGAGTCCAGCACCTTAACCATCACACCATCTGCTGACCCCACTAGTCAATTCCCTTCATTAGACTGGACTTGCGGAGAGTCTGAGCTTAGCTTTAAAAATGGCTTACAGCTGGGCCAGCAGGTGGCGTGATGGTTAGTTAAGGTGCTGGATCCCACATGGTTGACTCCATTGTTAGAATTCCAGACCCGGTGGCTTGAAAATCACACTGTATGTGCATGTGTACCCAAAATCCTGAGAGGAGAATGGAGGAGAAGGGATTGTGGCATGGCCATCTCCCCTCAGGGGTGATATCTCACTTTCTCTCTCTGTCTCTCTCCCTCCCGATGAGTGCATGCACCCTATGGCAAAAAAATCTCAAGGGGAACAAAAAGCTTTGAGCAAGGTTCCCAGACCTTTTGGTCTAAGGACCCTTTTACGTTCTTTTAAATTTTATTTTATTATTTACATTTAATCGATGTCTATGATTACAGCATACAAAGTTAGTTTCCCCAGCATGAATACACTGTACATTAGACCAGTCAAAGTTGTTATGGGCTTGAGGTTGAAGGTTTCCACCAGCTCAAAGACCTGTCCTTTGTGGTTGAGTGACCTCTGCCAGCTAAGCAACAATAAGGCAGGTGGGAAGGCACCTGTGGTGACTGATGACCTCTGTGCACCAGCTACCTGCTTTGTCTTGGTTAATCCCAAAGCTCCTTTTTTCCCCCACATTTGAGAAGATGGAGCACAAAGGTCAAATCATTTGCCTGAAGATCCCTCAGCCAGCTGCTGCTGGTTTCAAACTAGCGGCATGTTGACCCTCCATGTATTTGTCTATGTCCATTTTACCACTCTGCACTCTGAAGGCCAGGCCAAATGCTTCTTTCTGGTATCACGGCTCTTAGATTTACCTTAATATTAATCTTCAAATCAAATTGGATTTGACTAGAACACATTTCGGTCAAGGGAGAATATAATGGGCTAGGTCAGGTCCAGTGTACAAGTCGGAGAGTGACATTGCCTGGCATGGCTGCCGCATTGTCCAACTCTGGGGGCACCTCGCACATCCTAGTTCATGTGCGCGGTGCTCCCTGGAGTTAGGCAATGCACAGCCTGCGTACGCTTTGCCAGTCCTGGCCCAGCACAGAAAGCATGTTGTTACCATCATCATCATGGACTTTATGCTTGTCAAGGTCAGGGCCCATGTCGCTCCCATCCCTGGGACCCTGCAGTGTGCAGCACAAGTCCCAGGCAGCATCGTGTTGACTGTGAATGCTTAGTCTCCCAAGAGGCTACATGTTCCCTTATTGCAAAGTGCCTGGTCCCAGGATTCTCTTGGGCTGATGCTGAGCACACCTGTGGTTTGTAACGATGCCATTTGCCTCCTTCAGGTCTTACGCTTCAGTCGTGGGCGAAGCCTGAGGAAAAAGAGAGAGAGGCTCAAGGAAGAGAGGAGAGCCCAGTCTGTGCCAAGAGATGAGGTGGCACAAAGCAAGGTGGGGGGTAGTCCTCCCGCCCTCTCCACCTGCCCGCTGACAGCAAGTGGGAAACCATCTCCCTGCTTCCTCTGGGTTCAGCTGGCAGCCACCATGCCCTCCTCTGCCTCTCCTTCCTACGGGGGTTCCTCACACGGTCATCAGTCTCTCCCCCTTTGGCTTCGTGTGCCCTGCTCCTTTGAGGTTTCAGACCATGTGCCTGCGTGTGTGTTGCCCACGGCTGTCCAGCCCCCTGGTGCAGGCACATTTCCTATCTCCATGAATCTGTGGAGTGAGAGCAGTGGTCCTCAGCATGGCATCCAGTGTGTCTCCCGAAACTCCAGTAACACAAGTTATTGGGCCTCACCTCAGACCCATTGGATCAGAAACTCTGAGGTGGGGCCTGAACAAGCCTCCCAGATGATTTGATGTATACTAAAGTTTGAAAATTGCTGGTCTAGGTTGCTTTGTCTCTTTCTACTTAGAGAACAGGCTGAGGTTATGCTAGCCCATGCAACTCCTCTGCGCAAATAAACAGAAGATGTCCCAGGCAGACCAGCCCTGGGCAAGGCACACACAGTGAACACAAGGGTTCTTAAACAAGCTCATGGAAAATGTGTGTTATGAAAAAGCTGCATGCTCTTCAAAATGTTTTTACATGAAGATTAATTTGTACTTTAATTCCACTTTTCCATGACCTTTTTGAAGTAGCCTCATTGATCTTACATTGGATTTCAGCTCCCCTTGCCCTACTCGTCCCTCAGTTACGTGCCTTTGTGCAGTGAGTGGCTCGTCTCACTGTGTGGTAGCCTGGGATGAACCATGCCTTTCAGCTCTCTCAGGAGGAGCAGAAGAAGTAGGACACAGAGACTTTCAGCCCATAAAAAGTTGTCACCAAGTACTTCCTCTTCCGTTTCAGAATTCTCTCATCAGATTCTGGGGTTAAGGCTTTGCAACTCTGACCAGGTTGCTATAGATGAATTGTGCATATGAAGTTGTAAATGTTCTCACAAGGACCAGAAGCGTGATGATTTTCTTCCTTTCCTGCGGGTTCTCATTCTCCACCATGAATTTTGGGGCTCCAAGTTCAAAGGATAAGCGGGACCACATTTTATTGAAATGCAAAAGACCAAAAATTTCTAAGGCTGAGATGTTTTGCATGTGATAGGTTCCTGGAGTTCTAGAACACAGAATTCGATCTAAGAATACATTTCATTTGGAACCTAGTAAGATGAAAATCAAATATCCAGCCAACCAGGAAAAGTATTATATGTTCAATCAAAACCACCAAGTTAGGTTTCCTATGTCTAAAATTTATGTCATTGGCCAAGGGGCTGGCAGGTGGCAAGGTGGTTAAGGGCACTGGACTCCCACATGGCTGACCATGGTTCAAATCCCGGACCTAGTGACTTGCTTTCTCACTTTCCCTCTCTCTCTCACTCTGCTCTTCACTGGTTGAATTAAACTTAATAAATAAAGTTAAATAATTCTAAAAAATATTTTTTTAATAAAATTTATGTCATTGGCCAAGATTCCCATGGGTCCATTACTAGATTAGCTCTTGTGAACACAATTTTTCTCTATTAGTGAAAGAGGCCAAAAGAGCAAGTAGAGCAGGTTTCTGGGCTTTTTTCCCCTGTAGGGAAGTGTCTCAGCAGGAGACACCCCCAGCAGTGAACAAGCTGTACTCAGGAAAGAAGAGGCCAGAGAAGATTGCCTGTCAGCCTCCCCAGAGCCCAGTGCAAAGGATAACAGGAGGAGAAAGTCGAGGCCCAAGGTCAGGAGGCACGTGACAGCAGCCGCGAGGGTGGCTGGGAGGCAGGTCGGTCGAAGGTCCTGGGATATTGCCGTATGCCTGCAGCTAAAAAGGTACCTCAGTTGGCTTGCTGGTTTGGAGCTGGGGCATAGAAATTAAATCTGGCTAACTTGAGAGACAGGTTTTTGTGCCAGTATTTTTCTTTTTAACATGTGTAGCTTGAAGTAGAACACTATGAGGCAAAGCAAGGCGGGTTCTTTGCCTAGGAGTGTGAGATGCGAACCATTAGCAGGGTGTTACCTGTGCAGATGTCACAGGCTCAGGGGTGTCATCTCTTCCTGCCCCACAGGTGTCAGCATTTTCTGATCCCACCCCACCAGCAGACCAACAGCCTGGACAAGAGAAGAACGTGCATGGTCACAGTCACCCTAAAAGGAGGAACAGGCATCGGTGTTCATCCCCACCTCCACCCCACGAGTTCAGAGCCTACCAGCTCTACACGTTGTACCGAGGGAAGGATGGGAAAGTGATGCAGGTACCTGCAGAGCCCAGTCAGGAGAGGGTCCCACAGGCCTTAAGCAGGGTTGTCCATTTACTGCTGATATCTACCTTAGATGTTGACTTAGCAAAGAATAAGCTTTGAAGATAAGCCCTGACTTCCCCACCTAAGCTGTGCAGGCACTTGCCTGCTGCTTAGGCCCAGGCAAACAGAGGTGTAGTTACAGAGCTATCTGCACTGTCCTTAGGTGACTAGATATCTTGAGGCTCCAGTGTAGACATAAGTAGCTTGAAAATAGGGAAGTCTCACCCTCTCTGTCTTACCCTCTTCTTAGTGCCTAGGAGACCCAAAGCTCAGCTTATGGACATTCCAAAGTTACAACAGGAATCAATCTGTCTATTCATCTGTATCCCCTGGTATACTGCCTGGCACGTAGTGGCTACTCAAAACACAGTTGTTGTTGGGACCAGCAGATGGCATAATTGTTACGTTGCTGGACTCCATGTAGTTGACTGTGGTTAGTCCCGGATCCGGTGGCTTAAACTCACACCAAGCGCATGTGCATGCATGCCCAGGATCCTGAGAGAAGGGACTGTGGCATGGCCATCCCCCCAGGGGATGATTTCTAGCTTTCTGTCTCTCTGTCTTTCCGGTGAGTGCATGACCCTAAAGCAAAAACCTCTCTGAAAAACAAAACCAAAAAAACTCATGTTGGGCACATGTACATACGTACCCAAAATCCCAAGAGGAGAATGGAGGAGAAGGGATTGTATCATGACTAATCCCCTTGGGCATGATTTCTCACTTTCTGTCTCTGTGTCTCTCTCTGGCAAGTACATGTGCCCTATAGCAAGAAAACAAACAAACAACACTCTTAAAAACAAATTTGTTGAAAGAGTGAACTAGAGACCAATTCCTTCTTTATTTCCCTCTTAGGCACCAATAAATGGTTGTCGTTGTGAACCTCTAATCAACAAACTGGAGAATCAGTTGGAGGCAACTGTGGAGGAGATAAAAGCAGAACTGGGGTCCGTTCAGGATAAAATGAACACAAAGCTGGGGCATATGGAGAATAAGACCCAGCACCAAGTAAGTGAGTGGTCCAGCCTTCTAACTGCTAGGTGTTCCGGCAGAAAAGGACATAGGAGATGTTAGCACACCCTTCCACACTGAGTTTTCAATGGGCTGTCAGGGAAGACATTTATGTGATTTTATTAAGACACATTTTTTTTCTTTTTTTCTTTCTTTATGCTAGAGCATATATACACGCAAATGAGAGAGAGGAAAAAAATAAAGACATGAGCACACCACAGTCCCTTGCTTCCAGTCTTCTAGTTCATCAGATCTTGGGCACTTCATGCATGGCTGCTGTGTTTCAGGGATTCGATCCACAGCTTCTCTTGAGCAGCATGACTGCTGTATCACAGAGCCCAGGACTTTTTAAGAACATGTTTAAATTGCTTATGACTGGGGCCAGCAGGTGGTGTGGTCGTTAAGGCACTGGACTCCCACATGACTGACCGTAGTTCAAGTCCCAGGACTAGCAGTTTGTTTTTTCACTTTCCCTCTTGCACGCACATTGTCTGGTCAAATTTTAAAAAATTAAATATATGAATAAATAAATCTTTTATAAAATTGCTTATGACTACAAAAATTATATATGTCCCCATTAAAAAGCATCTTTTAAAATATGAAAATTAGGGGCCAAATGGTGGCACAGTGATACAATGCGATATTCTATGAGTCAGTCCCATGTGGGAAGGTTCCTGGTTCAAGTCTAGAGGCTTCCCTGAGAATGCAAGCATGCTTGGCCATGATCCTGGGCTGCTGAAGTTGGGAGTAGATTGTGGCATCAATACCCTGTTGCAGGTGCACATGCTTGCTCTCTCTTGTTTATGAAAGAAATAAAGTTTGAAAAAGTATGAAAATTAGAAAGGAAAATAGACCACCTATAAGCCCACTGTGATGATTAAAAAAAAAAAAAATAGCACTACTTTCTTTTTGATTTGCCAGAGGGGACATGTGCTCACCAAGAGAGACAGAGAGAGAGGGAGGGAGGGTGAAAGCACTCCTCTAATGGGGTGTGTCCTCACCACAGTACCTTCTCCTCCATTTCTCCATCCTGTTGGGATTTGAGACACGCACATTCATGCATACTCACCTGTCATGTTTTTCATGCTGTTAGAGCCAGGACTCGAATGGCGGTCAGCCATGTGGGATCTGACTCCCTGAACCATTAAGCCATGGGCTGTTCCAATGTACATAGATTTCTTTTTCAATTCAAAAAACCTTAACAATAACATGTATTTATTTTTTAAAATTACACATTACAGAAATATGTATCAAAGTGAGATTCCCCAGACAGCCCTTCCATTTCCTATCTATTGGTTTTTTCTCTCATAGGTTGTAACCTCCATAATTGTCACTTTTAAACAAAAATAGTTGTTGTTGCTTGCCTTTTTTTTTTTTTTTTTTTAATTGCCAGAGAGTGCATAGACTTGTCAGGAAAGACAGAAAGAGAGGGATAGGGAAGAGGGAGAAATCACCCTCAATGGGGCATGGTCACACTGCAATCCCTTCTTCATTTCTTCATCCTGTCAGGATTTTGAGTGCACACACACACCTGATGTGTTTTTCAAGCCACTGGGATCAGGATTAGAACTGCATAGTCATGTGGGATCCAGTTCCCTTAACCAGCAGGCCATGGGTCCAGCCCTATTGCTCATGTTTTCATCTAGCAATGTGCCATAGACATGTAGAGCTATAATGCGCTTTTTTAAAAAAATATTTTAAAATTTATTCCAACATAGAGCAGAATGTCCAGAATCCTATATAAATTAAACCACTAGTGAGTAAGGTACCGTCTTGGTCTATGAGTAATGTTCTCCACAATGGACTTACAAGTTTTTAAAATGCCACTAAGAGGACACTAAGTAAAGTCTATCTCTGACATATTTCTTAAAAACCTGTAAGTAGCTTTGCCATAAAACTGACTTAAGGTAGTTGTGTTTTTCAGTAGCATTTAGAACAATCCAGCACTTCGCAGGAATACACAGAATGGCACACTTACTATAAGATAACTGTAACACTAGCTGCAATTTTCAGTAGCTGTGTTTACCACCTGTGTAACAGAATTGTAATGTTCTCCTGAACCATATGCATGTCTCATATATGTAAGTATTAATGGTTTTTTTGGATATTCTTCACCAACTACAATAGGAGGAGAATCAGCCTGTATTCTCTCTATTGGTGTTTGTAAAATGTGAGTCAGAGCTCTTAGCTCAAGCTGACCTCCCCATGCAGCTGTGTTTACATCATTGCAGTACTTTCCAAACTCCTCTGGAGTATACATATCTCCGTATTAGAGTTTGTTAAAAACGGCAGAAAGTCTTCCACATGGCTTTGCATATATTCAGCGGTTTGACTTCTTAAGGCAGCCACAGTCAGAGTACAATTCTGTTCTTTCAGCTGATCTTCAATGGCTCTATACATACAATGACCATCGGATGGAATCTGTTTAATTTCCAACTGTCTAGCTGCCAATATTTGAGCAAGTTTTTCACTTTCTACATGTCTGGCTCCAGTTAAGTTCTCAATTTCAGCTTCAGCTATCCTTTTTTCCCACTCTTTCTCCAATGCAGCTTTTTTTCCCCGTCTCTTAGAATGTGGGGAAGTTAATTCATAATAATTAGAACTAATTCTCATTTACTAAGGGGATGGAAATATAAAATTTTCAAAACATTTTGACATTTTTCTCCTTTTTCCCACAAGCACTACCATACTGATCATGTCATCACTTGTAGAATTTTCTGCACTATGAACTCTTTTAGGGTAAATTATCTTATTCATCTTCATATTTTCAGCGCCTAGCTCTATAATATATATTAAAAAGTCATCTAAAATTTTTCTCTAAGTCTATTAAAAACTATATGCCAAGTATCTAAAAACATTATTTAATTATTTCAAAGTACTGTATTAAGACTGACTTAGCCTATCTTAAAGCACATTTTTATCATATTAAAGTCTAGACTAAGCTGAACTATCACTATACTAGTGAGGCATAAATATGCTAAAGCCTTTAGAAAGAAAGGCAAACACAATTTTGAACTAGCTTTTTAAAAGAAGTATGTGCATACATATACATTAATAAAGTAAAAAATAAAAATTCTTCTTTATAAAAAATTAAAATATTACCGACAGTAGTAAGAGATCTGTGACAAGAAAGATGAATAGGAGGTAAGGAAGGAAGGGTGGGGAAGAAGAGAAAAAAATTCCTAACAGCTAGACTAGTCAGGATCAAAAACCAAGAAGCACTATTATGATTCACAGCCAAAAGCTGTCATAGAGCTATAACACCACAGAAAATTATCAAGAGATGAAGTTAGGGGGCAAAAAATATAGGTATATAGTTAATATATATTAAGTCCATGCATACACAGTATAAAAAAATCTAGACGGATACACACAAAATACTTGAGTGTTTTCTGGATAGTAGGATGAAAAAATGAGTTTTATCTGGGTGTATATATGTGTCTACACTTTTTTTGCATCTTTCTAATTCTCTACAGTATGTTTTACTTGTACTGTTGAGAGAATACTGCTTTTCAATGTAAGAGAACAAAAAGTTATGCTAAATTCAACGAATCTTGATATTAGCAGTAAATTACAGTAAAATATTTGTTAAATCAACAGTAGGACAAGCTAAAGACCTTCATACCCCTAGCTCTAACCCTTCCTTGGGGCAAAAGTGAATGGGAAGGCAAATTTCATTTAAATTTACTGCCACATATTTGTACTCCCTGCCTATTAAGTGCCTTACTAGAAGAAACTGAACTGATTTTCTGATTTACCTGTACTGATAGCAGTAATAGCTCCCTAATAAAACATAAGCCTATTTAAATTTTCTCCTCCCAGTTTTTACCATGACAGAAATAATATGAACAAGTTTGTTGTACTGCATACCTACAACTGTGGATCACAACAGCATAAAACCTTAAAACACAAGATGGCACTATAACTTTATAAAAGACTAACAAAGTTTCAGAGGGGAGAGGAAAGATAAGCACCTTAGGTATCATCTAATCCAAAACCCCTCATTTTCCTCTTCTGAGGAAACAGCACGCAGAAAGATTTCCAAAGGCCATACAGCTGGTTAGAGCAGAGCGGGGACCAAGGACAACACAGAGAGCTCCTTCTATCCAGGCACCTGAATCAGAATAAAAGTTGGAGCAAATGGGAGCTGGAGTTAATGATGTCATGTACTTTTTACTGGAAGAGTGGAAATTTACACTATCTATAAAACCATAAAAGCCTTTAAAACACTAATTCCAATCATTTTACTTTTTCCCCCCATGCTTTGCAACTGCATTACAAAGCAACTGAGCTTCCTTTCTCTGACACTATGTGAAAAATTCACTGGATTCTTCCTCTAGCAATGTATTACTTCCCAATCACACTGAGCACTTTGGTTTCTACAACCACGGTACAAGAAATAGAATGGGACCAATAAAGTCTAATGAAAATGTATATAAGATGAAAACAGCATATAATTAATAAATATACTGCTGGTAAAACAAGAGTCATGCTAATTAGCAATATAGAAAAACAGTTCAAGTGGAATCTCAGGAGCTTTTCTCTAGTCCTGGGTTTGTATCAAACTTTCAGTACGTTACTGAAATAACCTGGGTCTCAGCTTTGTCATTTGTAAAATAAAGAAATTGAACTAGATCTCATTTGTAGCTCTCAAATTTCTTGTTTGAAAAACATTCTAAGATCTACTTTGAATTAAATAAAATACTTCCGTGCTTTTGTACATTTAATCTTTGTCTATAAATCATGTGTTTTGTTTTGTTTTGTTTTTTTCCAGAATTGCAAGTTTTCCAAAGATTGTTCACTGACTTTTTATTCCTTGGTGCCTCTGGCAAGAGAGGTTCCAAATAATCTAATACCAATTACCTACCATAATTTCACTTGCCATTTTCATAAGTATTATAAACTTTTAGTGGTTTCTATTCCAAAATTCCATGAATATAACAAACTATAAGAAACTGTAAGTATTACATCTAAGGAATTGTCTCTGATCAAGTGGTAAAGCAGCTGACTACAAAATATACTTAATTTTCTAATGGTGTAGCTGAACAAGGTACTAATTTCAGCTCTAAAGCATTTTAGGAGAAAAGTAACAAAATTTTTGAGAAAAGGGAGTTTATTTGTTTTTGTTTGTTTTGCTGTCTTAACAATCCAGATAGAGACGAGCACGTTTTGGTAAAGACAGAAAGGAGCTGTGTGTCCTTATGTTTTCCAGAATTAAACAGGGTACTATAAAGTGTATTAATTACCAAGTATAAACAATTCCAACAAATACTACTATTAGAACACAAAAATTCCACACTTCATTTTTGACCTATAGAGAAGCAAGATGACAACTGTAGGTTCATCATCACTAAATGAATACATATCCTAGGTAGGGAGTTGAACTAGACAATCTCTGAGATGCCGTAAGATCCAAATTACACGATTCTATGAAATTCATAATAACACTCAAGAGTAAAATCTGTTCAAGTATGAAAAATGTTTGACTTATGTACAAATTTTTAAAAAGACACTGCTCTTCGGTTTACTCTTTGGTTTAATTTTTTAAGATATGTATCATGCAATACTAACAAAATATACAGTATTATTTACTGATCCATGAATTCTTCAGGCCTTGTGTTAAGAGCTTTGGAAATAATATATTAATGTTCACAATGAACCTAAGTTTTATAGATGTGAAACTTAGGTTTAAAGTAATTAAGCACTGGGACCAGCAGATGGGAAAATAGTTATGTCACTGGACTCCTACATGGCCAACTACGCTTCAAGTCCCAGAACCAGTAGCTTGAAACTCGTACTGGGCACGTGTGCATTATGTGTCCAAAATCCTGAGAGGAGAATGGAGAAGGGATTGTGACCTTTCTCACTTCTTGTCTCTGTCTCACTGGTGAGCACACTTGCTCTATATCAAAACTCTCTTTAAAAAAACAAAAAAAAAAAGTTAAGAACTATACCTAAAGTCATAACAGTGAAATTAAAACATCATCTGCCCCACACTAAACTCCATGCTCTACTAAATTATATGACACAAAGCTAACTTTAAAAATGCATTTAAACCCCAGAAAGTATTATTAATAAATTAATATTTGGGACTAAAAAGATGGGATTTAAAAAACTGTATTTAGTTTCCTATCTAAATAATTATCTTTCAAAGGCCAATCCATTATTTAACACTTAGTATAGTGAACTTATCCTCTCTGAATTTTATTTTAATTTATCATTATATAGATTTCTGCATAATTCTCTTGAGGATTCTGTAAACCCATATATTTTCTTTTCTAGATTTAAACCCTTATTTCATCATTCAATTCTATAGTTCTCAACCAGAGTTTTTAAAAAAATCACCATGGCCCACATTTTTAGGATTATGAATTATTAAATCTGAGATAATATATTTTCTTTAAAAAAAAAAATCCTTTGGGGAACCAGCAGTTAGCGTAATGGCTATGTCACTGGATTCCCACGTAGTTGACCGCGGTTCGCGTCCCGGACCCAGTGGCTTAAAACTCACGCAAGGCACATGCGCGTGCGTGCCCAAGATCCCAAGAGGAGAATGGAGGAGAAGGGACTGCGGCATGACCATCCCCCCTGGGGGATGATTTCTCGCTTTCCGTCTCTATGTCTCTCTCTCTCTCTCTCTCTGGCGAGCGCACGCACCCTAGAGCGAAAACCTCTCCAAAAAAAAAAAAAAATCCTTTACACATCCTGTTCCGAGCCCACTCTCCTAAAAGAACAAATTGGGCATAACAATTGTATATATCTTAGGCCTGTTCTCTTCTCTATAAAATGGGAATATCAAATTCTGCTTCATAGGATTATTGTCAGGACTGAGATTTCAAAATAAACAGCTCAGCATATTTGACACATCGTATATGTTTAATAAATGTTAAGTTTAGGTCCCTTAACATGGAATTCATGTCTCTTTTTTGTAATTGCCATCTTATGCAACTCTTAATATAGTATTGAGCACACAGCACTAACTTATATACTTGGTGACATGACTTTCATACCCGTCTCTTTTGTGCTTTTGATATCCGAGGTGGCTGATTCTCAAGTACCAAGTTTGAAATGTTAACAGCAACAGAATCTATCTGAAGGAAACAAAAAACATTACCAAGTCAATAAAAATACCTATATATTACTACTTAAAATATTAGGTTATCCAATTATGATTGAAAATCACAAACATATCCAATCCCATAGAAATTAAGAGTAACAGCACTATGCACCATATTAAAAATTTTGGTTTTATTTCCTTTCTCTATTTTTACAGGATACTGTATCAGATTCCCAAGCAGTTTCCTTAAGAATTTTTTCAAAGATAATGTTCAGCCCTGTATGCTTTCCTTCCTTTTTAGAAAGCCTACTCCATTAATCTCCATACAGTACTATACCTCCTCTAAGTGCCAACTCATTTGGCATTCCATTTTTCCCTCCTCTGAATGTTGATACAGATTGAGTATCCTTACTCAAAATGATTGGAACAAAAGTATTTTAGATTTTTTCAGACTTTGGAATAGTGGTATCTGCATAATGATGTGTCTTAGGGATGGGACTCATGTCAAAACTTAAAGTTTATTTGGTTCTTATACACCTTACACATGTAAAGTAAATTTTAAGCAATATTTTCACATTATAGTATTTTAACAATGATCCCATCAAACGAGTCAAGTGTGGAATGGTCTATTTGTTGTATCAGGTCAATACTCAAATTTTGAACCTTTTTAGACTTTTGATTCTCAGATAAGTATGTGCAATCTGAAATACATTTAAGATACAGATGTTGCACTCAATGCATTTCTACCTCCACATCCTCAAATGTGACATTCCCCTATCCTAATGACCCAGAATCTGGTGAGCACTGATTTTTTACCTTTATAACAAGTTGGGCTTTCCCCCATCCTTCACTATCTACAAATTGATAATTACAGGGAGAAAACATACTTAGCTTACAATATGATTAGATACTATAATTGATTCTATTATTCAAAGGGCTACATGTTTGCTGAAGAAGAAAGATCGAGACTTCAAACTTTCAGAATAAGCTAGTTAATTACTGTAATTTTTATGTTAGTATTTAGTGTGACACAAATATAAAACACTTCAGGCACCAGCAGATGTTGTAATGGTTACATCACTGGACTCCCATGTAGTTGAGCACAGTTTAAGTCCTGGACCCGACAGCTTAAAAACTCATGCCGGGTGCACAGGGGCCAGGCAGTAGTACAGTGTTAATGCAACACATGGTTAATGCAACACATGTGCATGCATGCCCAAAATCCTAAGAGGAGAGTGGAGGAGAAGGGACTGCAGCATCGCCACCCACCTCCTCAAGGCCTCTAACAGCAGAGACAGATGGCCCCCCTCAGGCTATATCCCAAATAACCATAATATCACAATCTCCCATGAGTGGTTATCAACTTCAGTAAAGTTGAAATTTGCTAAACTTTACAAACTGTCAGGACCAGCAGATGGCGTAGCAGTTATGTCACTGGACTCTCATATAGTAGAACATGGTTCGAGTCCTAGACCTGGCAGCTTAAAATGCATGCTGGATGTGTGTATGTGTGTGTGTGTGTGTGTGTGTGTGTGTGTGTGTGTGTGTCCAAAATCCCAAGAGGAGAATGAACTGAGGCATGGCCAACCCTCTGGGAGGTGATTTCTTGCTTTCTGTCTGTCTCTCCAATAAGTGCAACACACTCTGTAACAAAGATCTCTCTCTAAAAATAAATAAATAAATAAAAATAATAATAAATTGCACTGTTTCTATTGATAATAAGTGAGACAAAGACAAGTATCTGAAAAACAAAAAGTAATGACATAAAAATTTAGGTTGTAGGGACCAGCAGGTGGTGTGGTGGTTAAGGCGCTGGACATCACTTGCCAACCACGGTTCGAGTCCTGGACCTGGTGGCTTGCTTTCTCAATCCTCCCACCCCCGTCACTCTCGCTCTCTATGTATGCATGTGTGTGTATGTGTCTCTCTGTCAAACTAAAATAAATAAAATTAAATAAATAATTTTTAAAAAAAGAATGTAGGTTGTGTTTAGGAAGAAAAGTCTAAGTTAATGATAATGATAATACTTCAAAGTAGAATGAGTCTATATCTTAACCATTGGAAAATATCTAGCATAAGAATCAAGCAATTTTGTTCCTGGAAACCTAGGAAAGAATTTTCAAATGGAAAGACCTGAGAAAGCAATAGAAAAGATGGGGGAACCAGCAGTTAGCATAATGGCTATGTCGCTGGATTCCCATGTAGTCGACCACGGTTCGCGTCCTGGACCCGGTGGCTTAGAACTCACGCCGGGCGCGTGTGCGTGCATGCCCAAGATCCCGAGAGGAGAATGGAGGAGAAGGGACTGCGGTGTGACCATCCCCCCTGGGGGGTGATTTCTCGCTTTCTGTCTCTATGTCTCTCTCTGTCTTGCGAGCGCACGCGCCCTATAGCGAAAACCTCTCAAAAGAAAAAAAAAAAGAAAAGAAAAGAAAAGATGGAAGATAATTAGGAATACAACAATTGTAACACAAACACTTCGAGCATCATACCTTGTTACCTAGAGATAAAGTACACTAAGGGCGAGGAAGGCCAAAAACTTGATAACTGGATAGCAAGCTAAATAAACTGAGACTATATTTAATATAAGGATCACTGTAACATCAGTACAGATATTTCCCTTATCAACAGTGGACCAAAAATGAACTAAATAAAATTTAATTATGACAGGTAAGATTTTGCACAGGGGCCAGGCAGTAGTACAGTGTTAATGCAACACATGGTTAATGAAACACATGGGAAAGGTCCTGGGTTTGTATCCCAGCTTTTCCCTGGATATGCCTGACATACACATGTCCATGATCAAGCTAGCTGAGGATGGGAAAGGACTATTATATCAGGACTCTATTAGAGGTGCTTCTCTCTGTCTCTTTCTCTTGTGGAGTGAAGAAGTAAACTTAAAAATGTACTTCTGCATAGACATAAGAACTTTTAAACTCTCAATTATGGAGTGAGACTATGAAGTCTATGATCCCTCTATGCAAAACCCATGCAATAAACTACTATACCATACAAAGTTATAACAGAATTCAGTATCCACCAACCAGAATTCTGATTTTTAATTGTGGTTTGGCACTTAATAGTTGTTATGACTTTGGGACAAAGTTCTTAATCTCTCTAAGCCTGTTTCCCACGCAAAAAAGTAATGACACATACTTCATAGGTAATACCTCACAATATATTACTGAGAATAAAATAAAATAATGTACAATGGATGGTAAACAAAGTGCTTATCATACACATATTATTTACAATGATGGAAATAAATTTATTAAAATACTGAAAGTAACATTTACCAATTTACCTAAGAAACTTCAGATATTTCATTTGATACACCTTTTTTCATAAAGAAACTTTGTAATTTAAAAAAAAAGCAATTTCATTTTGAGTCTTAAAAGAACCCTTGAATAGAGTGCAGAAGTGTTTGTATCTATCATCACCTTATATGTAAGGCAATTCAGGAAAAATAAATAACTTTGCCCAGGTTACAATACTTAAGTCACAACTCTTTGATTAAAAGTGTGGTCTTCCAACTTTTATTTGGTGAAGCTTTTCTTTCAGACAATTAAATAGGAAAAGAAATAAATTTTCTTTGTTAATTTCCCTTACAAAAACACAAAGCCATGTAAGATTAGTCATAAAAATAAATTTGTCTATTCGTTTTATAAACGTGTGTGTTTGTGTACGTGCTGGCGAAAGCAAAAAGAGATGAGCACCCTCCAGGGTCTGTTGACCATGCCATCCCCTTCTTTCAATTCTCCAGTCCATCACATCCTGGGCATCAGCCTGCTACCTGGCTGATCAGGCTTGACCAGGCCAGGGATTAGAACTACAATGGCTTTTTGGGTTTTGGCTTCTTTTGAGCAAAGCATTACCACTCTGCCACCAAGCCAGATTTTTTAACTTTTTTTTTTCTCTTTAGCAAAAATATTAAGGAAAGACGATCCATAAGTACAACTGAGTGACTTCATTTCCTATCAAATTCATTACTTTAAATAATCCAACACAAGTGTACTGTTGCTTTCAAATGCTATAGGCTAACAATTATTTCATGTACCTTATTCTCCTTAGAACTCAGCTTCAGTTGCTCCAGTTCCTCTCGATGTTTCTGTTCCATTTCTCTTTCCAACTTAGCAACATCTTCAGTGAGTTGTTTCCTTCTCTTTTTGTCATTCTTGGGTACAGCATTCTTCATACTCTGAATTTTGGCTGAAAAATCACCAAAATCATTCCGTCAGAAACCCAGAAATAAAGAGGATGATAAGGAACGAAAGGTATAGACAGTGTAATTATGAAAGCCAGAAGAATCATCACATAACCAGACAGCTACAGATGAAGGTGAGACCAAAAAAGCAAAAAAAACTAATTTACATACCTTAAATTTGTTCGGGTTTTTTGGTGAGACAGGAGGGAAAACAAAAGACACTGATGCAAGTTTTACATTTTCCTTAGGTAGGGATCAGCAGTTAGCATAATGGCTATGTCGCTGGACTCCCATGTACTGGACCGCGGTTTGAGTCCTGGACCCGGTGGCTTAAAACTCACGCCAGGCGTGTGTGTGTGTGTGTGTGTGTGTGTGCGCGCGTGCCCAAGATCCCCAGATCCCCAGAGTAGAATGGAGAAGGGACTGAGGCGTGGTCATTTCCCCTGGGGGGGGTGATTTCTCGCTTTCTCTCTCTCTCTCTCTCTGTCTAGCGAGCGTACACACCCTATGGCAAAAACCTCTCAAAAAAAATTTTTTTTTTTCCTGAGGGGAGGCCATTCAAAATGCACACACCATTAGGACCAAGTCTCGGTAAAGGGGCCCGAATGGGTCCAGTCTGGGTCCAAGACCGTGCCTTCGTGGAATGAGAATAATACACCGGCTGCTGCCCGGGGTAGGCGAGCACGCCGCGCGCCTCAAAAGGCTCCGGGAAAGGGGCGGCAGGGAAGGCGGGAGAAAGGCCGCTCGCTACTGAGGCGGTAGAGAGGATCCAGCCACGCCGCCCCTTAAAATCCCCTGAACCGCCCCGCCACGCGCCCTTCGCTAGGTCTGGGTGACTTCCGAGATTCCCATCCCCATCACCTTGCAACTCCTTCTTCTCTTTGCGATGCCGTCTCACCAGCTGCTCCTCCTCCCCAAGCTCTTCAGTCGAGACTGGATCCATGACTGCCAGGTAGCCTACCCAGCACATGCGCTGGAAAAAGCCCGCACCACCGGCTCACAGACACCTTCCACCCTTCAACTCTCACCCGGGGCGCCATTGGCCACCGCAAAAACCCAGCTCCGCCTTAGAGGCGGCACCAGGTTGGGGCCGAGCCATTGGAACGAGGAGAAAGCTGACTGAAGTGCTGCGCATGAGCACTACAGTGACCCTTCTCTGACGGGGCGGGGTCGCAGAGGGGAGCAAGCTGCGCGCGGAGGTTTGAGCTCCGCCGTCTGGCGTCTACCGCCTCATGATTGGCCAGAGCGAGGAGCCCTTCAGCAATAAAGCTATGCACCAGACTATTGGCCCGGACGTGAGGCGCGCGGAGATGACATCACGGGCGCCATTTTGGACGTTGTTCCGTGCTTCCTTCTGTCTTCGGTTTTGGTCGGCGTTCCTAAGAGGAGTTACTGAAAAGGTAGGAAAGAAAAATAAAATATTTTAATAATTCCAGTTATAATTATCAGTAGAAATCTTTGAGTTGTGTCAGGCAAACAGTAGGGAATTAAATTTTCTTTATTGTTTTCAAGGTGGTTACACTGCAGTTCCGAAGAAAGGAACAGAACTAAAATGCCTCCTCTTGAAACAGATACGACGGTGGAAACCCAAGATACAGAAAGAGTCGACTATCATATGGTACAGGAGCTTAAACACCTGTGCTCAATGATAAAGAAGGTAATGTCAGAGCGCTTGGACCGAATCAGGGAATTGAGAGAGTTAACAGAAATGTGCAAGGAGGATTGGCCGCAAAATCGAATTACTGAAGTAAATGCAAAACAAGAGAAATTTTCACAGAATGCAGAGAAAGGGGGAAACTAAACCATGATAAAAGAAGACAAGAAGAGACCAAGAGATACAATCTACACATAATTAGACTATCTGGAATGGAAGACAAAACAAGTAGCTTAAACAATTACTAAGGAACTGTTTGAACTAAATTTCCCAGAGTTGAAGAACCAATTAGATCTACAAAAAGAAAAAGCTCACAGAGTACTTTTAAAATTTGACAGAAAGCAAGCAAAAAGTAGACATATCCTGGTACCATTTTTAAATTTCAAGAAAAAAATTAAAATTTTGCAAGTATCCAGACAGAAAGAAACAGGTTACCTGTAAAGGGCAAAAGTCAGACTGATGTCAGCTTTTTCTCTTGCAACTCCAAAT